AGACTTGTTCAGAAAGATTTGGAGAGCCTGGATTGATGTCTGGTCCCTCTCCGTCCCAAGAGCGAACTCCCACCAAAACAAAGAGCACAAACAAAAGCCTTCCCCCCACCAAGATTTGAAAGTATCTTGTCCCCTTATTGGTCCTTTGGGTCAGGTGTCAGCTAGGTTACCTGAGCTTCTTAACCCTTTACAGGTAAAAGGATTTTGGAGTCTCTGGCCAGGAGGGATTTTATAGTATTGTACACAAGAGGGCTGTGGCCCTTCCCTTTATAGTTATGACAACCACTGAAACCATTTACTAAGGGTCATAGTGGATTCTCCATCACTGACCATTTTAAAGTTAAGGTTGGATCTTTTCCTAAATTATATGCTCTGGTAAGTTCCATGGCCTGTGTGATGCAGGAGGGTAGACTAGATGATCACAGTGGTCCCTTCTGGCCTTGACATTGATGAATAAGGGAAGGAGCTTCCTCTGCAGCATGGGGCATGGGTCACTTGCAGGTTTAAACTAGTGTAAATGGTGGAGTCTCTGTAACTTAAAATCTTTGAATCATGATTTGAGGACTTCAGTAACTCAGCCAGAGGTTAGGGGGTCTATGACAGGAGTGGGTGGGTGTGGTTCTGTGGCAATGTGCAGGAGGTCAGACTAGATCATCATGATGGTTTCGTGGCCTTAAAGTCTATGAGTGGTTGAACATGTCAAGGCTTAGCACACACCTATTAGCAATCTTATTCAGGTTCTTTCTACCTTTCAAAAGGCTTTGCCAACCTAATTGACCTGGAAGATGCTCAAATATTATGGAAATGAGAGACAATACAAACCCCTAAGATACAAAGATTTATGGAGCAAATTACAAAGAAATAAGGCTGAAAGGTGAAAACTTTTATTCCTCGACTTTCATCTTCTGGCTCATGATTTGAACCTAATTTTGAGATCCCAGGGGGGATGAGCTTCAGCTCTTTAATAAAGAAGAGTCCCTTTTACAAAGCCGCTGTGTATAATCTTGCTGACTTTGACACAATAAACAATCTTCAGAGGAGAAGCTAGATGAAGCTAGGCCTCCCTGGGACATCCATAACCTAAATGGATGAATGGGACTATGTAAATTCATCTCCTGTCAGCAAAACTGGGAAGTGAAGAGATGTGGGTGGATCATTGCCCTCTTGTGAACTTCCCAGGTGCCCCACCACACCCACAAGTCACCCCAAGAAGTCTCTATCTCCAGGATCCACTGAGACAGGCTCCATCCTATCTAGTTTACAGATGAAGAAACTGAAGTGAAGGGATTTGCCAAAGGTCACCTAGCAGGTCATGTTTCCTGTCTCCCAGTCTATTGACCTCTGCACTGGCCCTTACCTCCTCTTTTGAATAGAGGGGCATCCAGACCTAAACTTCCCAAGGGTTTGGGGGTCTAGATGATCTATGGTTTTGATTTAACTTATTTGAGAAATTGGGACCAGCCATCAAGTTCATATCCAATTTGACTTCCCCAAAGTACAGGCATTTTTTTGATCTGGCTTTTGGTTCAGGAATGCATCTACTCTAAAGATAAGTACCAGTATTATATTTTGTACAACAAGAAAAGTATAATACAAGTGCTACCAAGCTTCTGAGCTCTGAAAGATTTTAGAGTATGATTTTGCTAAATTATACATTAAGTGGAAGGATTGAGTTAAGTATTTTGTATTCAGCAGGGTCATTAGTGTTTCCAGGAGAGGTGGAACAGACAGCGACTTGCTATACACCTTCCTTTGATCAGCCTACTAATCTGGAGTTCGGGACCTTGTCAATTACACAACCATCAATCAGCAAAACACAAGAGGTATGAGGTCAGATTTATTTAAACATAGTTTTCTTTTTCCTGAGTGGATTTTAATGCTATTTCCATACAGGAACAGAGGGAAGAGGGAGCTTTGAGGAACTGCCTTGAACTGAGTTAGCAATTCATTTTTAAATATTTTTTAAAAAATTAACAAGTTAAAGTAATTATGCTCTTTGATGGAACAGCTCCTGATTTGTGATGCACACTGCGGCTGTATAATAAATGAGCCGGTGAAATATATCACTTTTTTGCTTACCTGTAATTTTAGCCAATACATTTTTTATAATTGGTAAAGCTCACAGGCTATTCAAGCAAACCTTTGTAGCTCCTGACCTTTTAACAAAACATTAGGTTACATAGAATGAGGGACCATTTAATTTCCTGATGGCTTTGGCAGTATTACACTACACAAACTCTTGCTGGGGTGAGTGCAGAAATCCATGTTCCAAAATTTCAGCTAGCGAACAAATCCTTTAATGCCACATTAAAAACAAAACAAAACAAAACAAAAAAGAAAAAACAAAACAAAAAGAATCCCTAGAACATATCTTGATCAGAGATTTGGAGTTTATCTTTTGGAAATTATTGTCATTGAGATGCAATTCAGTATTAGCACTGTCTACCAGGTGAAGTGCAGAGGACTGGACCATGGCATGTCAGCAATCATCAGCAATCAATATATGTTTTAATTTAAATTGCCCCTTTCTCTCAGAATTTCAGCCCCACTCAAATCAGAAATGTAGGTCTAGAATGCTTGCAGGCTTATTTTAAGTCTTTACACCTCCCGACAAATCAGCCAGTGTGAACATTAACTTTAGAATAAGGAATTTTTCTGTTGCAGAGGTGGTGTGTTGTTGTTGGTTTTTAGTTTTGTTTTGGGTTTTTTGGTTAATCATTATAATGGACGCTGAAATGTTAAGATTGCTTCTGGCTAAAATCAGGCAGCTTTGCTAGTTTCATTTGGTTATTGATATCCTATGAGGCTTAAATCAAGATGATAAAGATATTTGACCAATGAAGGATTGATGCTACTGCATTGCATATGCAGTTTTGCCTGCTGAGCTCAAATGTATTTGATTCTTTGCAATCAACACTAGAAAATATACTGTTAAGAACAATTCTGCATTGGCAGGGAGATGGACTAAATGCTCTAATAGGTCTTTTCCAGTTCTAACCCATGTGGTTCTGTGATTAAAATAAAAAACCCTGAAATGACCTATAACATGGTAGTTAACCTCCATCTTTATACCTTTAGAAATATACATTTTTACACAAAAATACTATGACATATTGAAATGCATATCCCAGGAGATTAATGTATGGGGACATAAAGAAGAAGGGGGTTGCAAAAATCTCAAGTGTTAATAAATGAATGCACATGACACTGGAAGCTACAAATTATGAGAGGTGGATGAAAATCCCATTCACTGCAGCATTTATTTCTATTAGAGGAACAGTTTGATCATACAGTAGAACCTTGGAGTTATGAACACCAGAGTTACGAACTTATCAGTCAACCACACACTTCATTCGGAACTGGAAATACACAATCAGGCAGCAGTAGAGATAGCTCCCCCCCCCAAACAAATACAGTACAGTACTGTGTTAAAAGTAAACTATTAAAAAAAACAGGAGTACTTGTGGCACCTTAGAGACTAACAAATTTATTAGAGCATAAGCTTTCGTGGACTACAGCCCACTTCTTCGGATGCAT